CCGGTGCGGGCCGGGAGCGTCCCGCGGGCCTTGGCCGGCCGGGCTGGGAGACCGTCCTGCCCCGTGTCTCCCCAGCCAGCGTGCTTCGGGGACCGTCCCGTCGGCCCGTGCGAGCTGAGCTGGGGTTGCTCTGCTCCTCCGAACGGCAGTAAATAGACGTCTCGCTACGTCTGCGCGCTGACTGTAGCAGCGTGTCGGCAGAGCGCAGCGTGTTTTCTGCAGAAATTCCCATGACGTCGCAGCAGTTTTCCTCGAGCGCTGCTGTAGCCAGCTCACTAGTATGCTAGTATTTCCTCTTTTCTTTTTTTAACTTTCTCTTGACTGTTTACAATAATTTGCTGAACATTTGCGTTCAGAGCAACGTTTTAGGATGAGGCATTAGCTGGTGGCCTATTATCACCTATTGTGTACTTAGACTAAAGTTTCTCTACATCAGATCTTTAGGCCAGCTTGTTCATGGCTTGCGGTCTGGTACAGTTTAATCCTATGCCCATCAGTGAGGTGGCACAAAAAGAGGTTTTGCTGCTTTGGGTTTAGACACTTTCATCTCACATTAGGGATAAGTGTGGCGCAGGTGGGTGGTGGTAGGAGGAAGGATGGGTGGGGGAAGGTTGTGTGTTGCTTTGGAGGGAAGAAAAGGCATGTTTTGAGCCCAAATGAGCGTGGACGCTAATTCAGTCAGGGTGCTATATGCTGGGTGCCTACATTGCCTTTCACTTAGTCTTTCCTGACCCAACTTGTCTGACGTATAGAGGATCTGGTGTTTGTTTGGCTTTTGTTCACACAACTGCATTTCCAAACGCTTGCGCTGGAGGCACAGCCCTGAAAGCAAGCGAGTGTGGGAGGGCAGGCTCGTCTTCAAACCGCTTTGCAGAAAGCGATCTCATGTGAACGCCTCGCAGCCACTGCTGAAGTCAGGCTCGACGAGTTCCTGGGCTTGGTCAAACGAGGACACGATGCATACCGGTAGCAGGGGTTCAATACAGGCAGCCCAGCAGGTGTCTGTCCAAGTGTGCAGGGGGCACAAGCTGCCCCAGGACTTTGTGCTGTTTTCTGGTAGTCTGTGGTACTGGTGGCATCACTGCAAAGCCCAATCCTTCTGGATAAAGAGAAATGACGAAAGAGAAATTCTGCCGGTTCTCTCAGCCTATCAGCAAATGTTAGTTTTGACTTTATTTCGGCCTTGGATAAGACCCTGCCAAGATTAATGTTTGAGGCAATTTGTTCCAGCCAAGTGACTCAGAGTGGGTGTGGTAGTGTCTGTCCTGCGCAGAACAATTTAGAGTGAGATTTAACTTCATCACGGGCAAAATGCTGGATTCTGGAAAGGATGAAGGAACGACATGGCCAGTCCTTGCAGGGAGCGTGTTAACCCCGGCTCATCCCTCTGTGGGCCACGGTTGGGGCTGCTGCACAGCAGGGTGATTTGTGAGGGAAGGCGGGGTGTCTCATGCA